GGTAGTTTTCACACTACCTAGTTATAGCAATCTCTTCAGTCTAGTTGTTTGAAATGAGAAAATACCAAAGGCATTTATTGAGAAATATCTGACAGTTAGGAAACATGCCTGTGTTGTGGAATCTCCACCCCTGGAGATTTAAGAGCAGGTTAGACCAACACAGGAATGGTCTAGATAATACTTAGTCCTGCCATGAGTATAGGGAACGGGAATAAATGAACTCGAGGCCCCGTCAATGATTCTATGAGGATCCATCCATTCTCATTTCACATGAATTTTAGCACTGATGAATAGATATGGAATTGATAGCCAGGGAGAATGAAGTCTTTCATTCATGTGCAATGACGACGGTTCAGGAAACTTTCGCTTCCTTACAGTGCCCCACGGACATGCCTCAACCCTAACAGAGTGATAATCATTTAGGAAACTTTATTTCAATTCCTTCTACACCAAGATTGACACAGGATTTATAGCACTGAATGGAGACGCCCTACTCATGTCTCTCATGCTGACCTGGGCTAAAAGAAAGATAGCCCATAGATGTGGGCTTCGCTAGCACTTTAGGACTCTTATCCAGATCTTTACTGTGGCTCCTGGAAGCAGTCGCCCATGGACGGATAGATTTTTACACCCTTGAGGTCCACCCAGCCCCCTAAATCTGGTCAAGAAGCAGAACAATTTATGGTAGTTCTGTCTAGGTTTAATGTGATTCAAGTGCGGGGCCTGCAGATTAGAAAGAAAGTGCAATCTAAACATGAAATACCTAAAAGCTCATTTGTTGCACCTTGCAGAAGCCACAAGGAAACAACCAATGCAAGGTTGCCTCCGAGACTAGACATTGTCACATACTGCAGAGATACTGCCCTCAACAGGACAGCACATGTATCTTAGTATTTTAATTTAGATCCATTGTGTCCAACCTGTTCTGAAGCAGTAGCCACTACAGTGGCTAGTGTGTTGGACACCATGGATTTAGATAATGCTGTCAATATGCTAGATACTTTAGTCATCATCACATAGTAAAAGAATCACACTGAGAAAGCAGCAACTCTCAATTGAAGTTAAAATCTGAATACTGATCTTCAGCACATAAAACTAATATAAATAACTGATTCTTTGGCTTTTGGGATGGAAATACAACATGACCTGGGCAAGCACTCCACTCTGGGCAGTACAAGGACTAGCCAGTGAAAGAAATCACAACTGTTTTCCAAATAATTAGTGCTCCATTCCTGTTTGAGATGCCCTGGCTTAATCACGATGGCATTAATATCCCAATAATTCAAATCCCTCATAGAGGGCCCAAACTTCCATTAAAAAAGTCAATGGAAAAAGTCCTGTATGCTCAAACTCAAGTTGAGCTATGTCCTCTACTGCTTTATGGTTTACTGGAGTGAGGACTGGACAGTATCCTGTTATCAAGTTAGCAACAACAGCTCAAGTGAATGGCTGGCAGACTCCTTCCATTCTGAAGTATTAAGCCCAAAATATTCCCCACTTTTTTTCAGAGTACCTGTCCAAACTATTCACGCTCTGAAAACTACTGCACATATTGTCTCTCACAGCTCCCCCGGTTGTCTCTTGCTATTAACTAATTCCTTGCCATTTTGAAATAAAATGTTAGTTGTATAGTGCGCAAACCTTACTGTGAACATAAGCAGTTCACAATCTAAGAGCAGGTCCAGTCTAAGAGCAGATTGTAAATACATTTACTTTTTTTAAAGTCACTTACAACGTAGCTGCAGCAGATAAAGGGCACAGTTCCAAAGAAACATGGGTGTAAATTCAACTAACCAATTCCCCTCTTATTTGGTTAGAATCAGTTTCCACCACAGTGTAGTTAAACACTTCATCTTATAAATCCATTTTCCCATTGAACTTGGTTTTCCTGAAGTCCCGCTAGCCAAATTAATTCAATGCACTGGTCAGCCTTTAAAATGATTAATTTTAACAAAAGTGTGCAGTTACCTGGCACGTTAAGGCGTCCCTCTAACCAATCCAGAGGGGCTGAACAATCCTGTGAAGAAATAACTCACTATTACAGAACAGCCATTAGAGAATCACCCTGCACTACATGCCAACAGTAATGAAAATCATTGTGGCGTGTGTATCTAGTAATACAGAGAGAGTAGAAATAATCCTTAATTAAGGAGATTCACACAATGTTGAATATAGGTAGAGGGATCTCTTATGGATTAGCCCCCAGGGACACCACATTGTGTTGGCAGCAAGTTGAAGTTCCGTCTTCTTACATCAAAAGGGTATGAAAATGAGATAGTAAATACCAGATCGCAGATGCACCCACCCAGATTACCTGTCTCCATTATCCATCTTCCTAAAGATGTCCCAATTATTTGGACTATAGAAATAAACCTCCCTCACATCTTAGCCGTGATTGACAACCCAACCATACCAATGCAGAAGATGATCAATCAACCCTAACCCATTTGTAAAACGGAATTAAAATGGTAACATTTAAAATTTAGATGGTATATCTGGGCAAGGTAGGAGAAGAAACATTGAGTAAAATCTTAATGCCAACTAGGATGAATACAAACTTGTATTGGAAAACTAGAAAAACTGCATCTGAAATGGCAGTCATCACCTATCCACACTTTTGTTCTAGAACCTTTTGTGTTATACAACTTAATCCTACACTTATATCAGCATACTGTACCACTGATGGATGAGCAGCTTTGTTGAATCATTGGCAAATCCTCAGAATGCCCATACACACTAACACCCCCCCCCCCCCCCCCCATGCCAATGTTAGTCCATTGAGGGCACGAAGCAGAAATATTTCCCAGCCCCTCATAACACTAATTGGGAGGCGCCCCCAAGCATTTGCTTAATCTATTTACGCCTAGCACTAGCTCCACACATGCACAAACACTAAGTAGGGTTAAGTTAGTGTTTTCACTCAAGCATTAGGTAAAGGATATGTCTAGGCTGCAAAAAAGATAATAGCAAGTCTAAGTTTGGGTCTACAGACCTGAGTTTGCATTACAGGGCTAAATAGCAGCACAGACATCTCCACTCTGGCTCTGAAACCCATCACCCCCACCAGGTTTCAAAACCCAATCTCTAGGCTAAATAGAAGAGCAACACTGCTACTTTTAACCTGTAGCAAAAGCCCGTCCATAGACCTGGGCTCAGACCTGTTGCCACAGGTTTTATTTTTGCACTGTAAAAATATGCTGGTGTGGAAGAAAACTTAGGCACTGGGTTGCCAGAAAACCTGAGGTACTATTCATGGGGACAGTGTCTTAAAATCCCAGTTGCTAGAAGTGCTTTAGATCCTTTATCATGAACCCCTAAGACAAAACTGAAAAGTAACATTGAGTGGCACTGAAGAATACAGATCAATCCCTAAAGACTGTTGGTCATGGCTTCGACCTAGAGTGAATGTGTTAGTAAAATTAGTAGGTATGCTCAAGGGTGGAGGATAAAGAACAAAAAAACCCCAAACAAACAAAAAAGCCACAAACCCCAAAACCTTTTCTCTATAAATCACAATTCATTTTGACCTCTTCAAACTCTCTTACCTGTTTATAAGGGATTTACACAGCTGTTTGCCACGGGAACGGACACCTTGAAGAACAAAATTGTGGCATCCTTTGTTGATAAGCACCTGCTGCCTAGCAATCATCCTGCATGGATACAGGACAGCACTAGGGTTCTTTATCCACAGTAGATTACTCATTTCAAGGCAACCAGAGCAAGCTCGCATCTCAAGGTGTCTTCATCTGCATGTCAGACAGCGACTAGTTATTCTAACAGACAGGCAAACATAACACGAGGTTTCTGAAGCCAACGATGCAGCAGTGTTAGCTCCCTCTTGAGCTCTGGTGTTGTCAAATGCCTCGAAGTTTCCTGCAGCAAACGGAGTTGTACTCCTGTACTGGAACAGCCTTCCAAAGCTCAGGAGCCCCCGTACAGGATAATCAGGAACTACAGCATACCATTTTTTCAAAGGTGCCTCCATTTTTTCCTCTCACAATCTGTACTACAAACTGATGTGACTGCAAGCAAATGTGCAGTCGTACCTATGAAACGATCAGGGTGCATGCACATCCAAGGCGTGTGGAACATTTGCTTCAAAACGGCCCACAATAAGGCACTGATACCAATGCAAACGTTTTAATTAAACTCTAGCTCTCGGGAATTCTTCATCCATTCAGAACTAAACCCATCACTGCATCACTCTGGTGAAAAGCCCCTGGAGATGGAGGAGCTCCTCAACGTGTGTCAAGGAAGGTTTTTATTAACATCATTTAACACTTTTTAATGAGACTTTTCTTTTCGCAATTTGGTGCAAAGGTTTGCGTGCAAGATTCAATGCAATTTCAAACTTTCTTCAAATTAAAAAAAATGAAAATTAAAGCCAAACAAGTTAGGTCAACAAAATAAATCAGAAACTTAAAATTCAGGAACTCCAGCTCTTCAAACCAGCGAAGCCCCAGACTTGCACACTGTTCTGAGGCTTTTATGGTGCTTTCCCTGCTTCTTGCATGCGCGCATCAGCACTGGTAAAGATGAGGAGTTAGCAGCAAATGACCCCCATCACTGCAATCAAAGGGAGGTGCCACAGCAACACAATGAACTAGATTCTTCAGATCTGATACAACAGGCTGGTCAAATTGAAAGTGATGGTCTCCCTGCTTCTTGCTCAAGACCCACAGCTATCAGATCAACAACTGAGCAGCAGCAGCAGCAGCAGCAGGTACCCCTCCGCTGCAAACAAAGGGGTCAAAGGTTTGTCGTCAATTCACTTCCAAGCAGAAAAACATTTTCCTCAAAAGAAACAATTTATTTAGAATGAAACAAAATCAGCTCAACTGTGAGCGCATGTTTGTGTGACAGCTACTTTTAAGCTGTGAGAGCCATAAAAAGGGTATTCCTTTACTTTTCCAGAAATCTTGTGTACACAGCACAAAGCAAAGAGGTCATTTTTCCACTTAAAACACGGGCATTGGCATCACAATAGCAGATACACAACTTTTTTTTTTTTTTTTAAAGCTGCCATTTTAGTAAAATGCACAAATACTAAACAGATAAGCTTTCTTCCATCAAGAGGCCCATGTAAATTCCACACAAGCCACAACTTCTCTTCGCAAAGGTCCATTAGAGCTTGGAATCCCATGTCATCTTCCACAGTTGGTCAGCCTTGCTTGCAGGAGGAAAGAAAAGGTAAACATTTGTACTGAATAACAACAGGTTTTCCCCTCCCCACACTACACAGATGAACATAAAGAACTACAAGGCCTCTCTAAGTATTCTACTTAGACTTCGAAAAGCACCAATACCACCCACCGGCACAAAACCTTGAAATGAAGTCACTTTCTATATATAAATGCATAACAAGTAGTGCAGGGTTTTTGAACTGCTGTTAAACTCTGTTCACAGATTTGAAGGTATACAGGATTGAAGATAAACAGGTGTTTTTTTTTAAATCAGGTAACAGAACATGTCAAAAATCAGCCATGAGGAAAACCAACTGAATAGTTCATAATTCACTTGATTTTCCTCAAAGAACATTTCCTGAAGGCAACTTCTCAAACATACGAAATGTAGTGATACATGTTGATATCTTCTCATTTTGCTGTACAAATTCCAACAGCAGGATGCAACTCCATTACTGTAGCAAAGAGGTCAAATCAAGGATGTCCCTACTAAACAAAACTTGTTACTGTTAAGTAGCATTTCTAATCCATTTTCATACAATTAGGACTGAATGAAATTAAATAATCCACTTAACATTTTCAAAATAGGGTTTGCTATGCTTACGCCTTATGCAAAGACTACTTTTATATCAAGTTTAATGATTCATTGAAGTAGCTGTCCTTGGTTTTTATTTGTAGAAAGTCATTAAGAATGGGAGGTGGGGAAAGAATCCCAAATATTTAGTTACTTGTCAATTATTTTTTTCAAGTCTGGTTTCTTTTTACATCAGGCTCTTGGCAGGCTCCAGCTAAGCACTGCTGTCAACACTGTTTTAATGGAATTAGGAAAGGATGTCCCAAGCAGCCTTCTCCCAAATCCTCAGAAGTCTTTAGATCCTTACCCCAACATTTTGTTCTCCACTTCCCACCCCTACTAATACTCAGGGCCCTACACACAGCTATCATCATCTGGCTGATTAAGCTTCTCAGGGAAGCTGTGTTCTCTCTTCTCTGCTCTCCATAGGAGGCTTCCAAAATATCTTCTTGCCAATAGTGGTTGAAGGGACATCTAACTGAGAACTCATCTTTAAAAAGTTGAAATTTGCCTGTGTTTCCTGGACTTCTCATCTCCCCTCTGTGATCCATCCAAGGGTGATATTGCTGTCTAAATCACAGCAATACCTTACAATAATTTGAGGTAGCTGTCACATCGCAGTGGCAACAAACAGCAGACTGTACACTAAATCTAAGCAAACAAAACCATTGGCTAGCAGCCAAGGGAGTTGTGTAAAGTTTGCAATTTGTAAAAATCTAAAATATTAACAAAAGTATGAGTCACTTGAGGTTCTTTCCCCAAAGCACACTTTGAAATGATGATTCAGGAAAGGGGCATCCATTTCCACGCTAATTCAGTACATCATAACTAATGAAATACAGGAACATCAGCTGCACACAGCGTTAGAAGAGATATTGAGCTCTTACTACAGCCCCATAATGACAGATATAACCAGATAATGAAACTCTGCTAAACCTGTTTAGCTCTAAACAGAAGTAGCATTACATTATGGATTCTGTTAGCAGCCAACCCTGGCAAGGGAGGTTTAAGTGGACAGTTACTCCAATGCTGTGCACTTCTGTAGTAAAAGGGAAAATACAGCCAAAAGAGTGGTGTTAGAATTGATGCAGCCTGTGACTAAGTGCAGTGTGAAAATGTTGCTAAGTTGTTTTCACTTTACATACCCTTAAAGGATATTAAAATCCTTGTTTGCAGAACAGCAATAGCAAATAAACCAGGTTTAACAGAAGCATATACCTCATTAAATAAGAAACCAAGAAACTTTGAGTTTGAAGTACAGTCTTATCTATTCCATGTTAGTTTTCAATACAGCACATCTCAGACTCATAAAAGCCAGAGATAACAAACAACTGCTTAACTGTCATGGGAAAATGAAAGGACATCTAGAATGCTCTTTCCAAGGAGAATTTCCCTAAGTATTAGTTGTCAGCTTTGCGATAAATGTACTTTGACCTCAAGTTTTGTTGGTTTCTTTTTAAAAAAAATAAAACAGGTGTCTATTGCATATTACAATAACAAACATGGTTTTTGGGAAGTTTAAAGGTTGAACACAAACAACTTAGTGCTAGTATTTTACATTTTTTAATTCCCAGGGGTAAAGTTAGAAGGGTGGTCTTTAAACAGTTAAGAGTAATTAGCCCAGTGATTTAACTTCGTCCTGCATCAAATACAATGCAGAAATGCAACAAATGCTTAAAATAATGAAAATGGGCAACATAGCATCTTGATGAATTAGGTAAGATGCAACAGACACACCCACTAAAACAAAACATTGTGTCACAAGCATGAATATGCTGTATTACATATAACATATGGCGCTTCCCTTATGTAATTGCTGCCATTTCCAAAAAAATCCCACAATTCTCATTGTTAATAGCAAGACAAACAGCTGTATTCTGCCTTCTGTAAGCCTATTACGTTCATGCTGAAGGACAATCCAGAAGTCCTGGATTTTACTCACTAAACATTAAGAGTATTAAGTGAGGTTTCTAATTATAGTTTATAAAAAAGCAAGGAGTAGCAAGAACAGTTTTAGTTGGTAGTGACCAATGAATACACCCTACGATCTGAGTAAGGCAGTATCATTTTTACAGCGCCACATTTCAAAAAACAATCCTTTAAAATGAGGCAAGACAGACCCAAGTGCAAGATGATGATGTTTCTACAAAGAGGTTTACAGTGTAATATATTCAGATTTACACTTCATTTGGGGACTAGCAAAGGTGAAGGCTTTAAAATGTTTCTGATATGCTTTTTCTAGGTTTTATCATGATCAAGGACAAAAGTATACAGAGAAAAAAATTAAATGAAGTAGGTTTGCTGAACAAGGTGATCTGCTTTTTCAACATTTTGCAGTACTTTTAATAGTCTGCCATGATGCTAAAAAACATTGTCCCAATGACTATGAAACCTCACATAATGCCCGCTGTTCTATTCCTAAAAAAAAAAATCTGAAGACAGACAGCAGTTTCTTTCTATTAATAAAGAGATAAAAGGGTGATGAGAATTTTCAAAGAATTAAAAGCCCTGTCTGAAGTGTATTGTTTGGAGTCTGCATTGCAGAATCCACTGTACCTGCAACTCTGAAAAAGGCAGTAAAAACCAAAAACCCACCAAATGATCAGCTGTTCATAAAGCACCTACTTGTTACTTGCATACTAGAGTAAGTATAAGACATTCAAGGTTTGTAACAAAGTCCTCACCTATTTACCAAAATGTTGTTACTGCTGCAAATCCAAAGTGCATATATGGGATACAATGGAACTTAGAACAGGAAGAACACACCTGTTAAAAGCACACCTTCTGGGCATGCATGTGTGTGGACTGACTGAAATCAAATTAATACCTATTAAGGAATTCAATGTTCAAGCTACAGTGTACCACAAGATGAGATGTTAGTCCCCTAAAAGAACTCAACCTTGAGCCAGTCAACTCAAAGTTAAACCATTCAGATTCCTGATAAAGGGTTTATTTAACTTTGGGGCACTGGTATCAGACCTTCACAGAATTTCAGAGATTCAAAACGAGTCAAGGCCAGTCCGCTATCTGGTTTTCTATTTAAATTACTTAGTGCTTTAAATTTGGTCTTCTAGTTCTGTAATTCTAGAGGAATTTTTAAACCTGCTTTAAAAAAATGGTCAAAACTAAAAAGAACAAAGTTAAAAATTAAAAAAAGGTGGAATTCTGTTTTCTATTTTTTAGTTGAAGCAGGCTTACCTTTCCTGCTTACGCTTGCTGAGAAGGGATCCTCAAAATATCCTAATTCAGGCTAACAGCTAAACCTTCCTGGCTTCTAACTACAGAAAAATGTAATTACAAAAAAAAAAAAAAAAAAAAAAAAAAAAAAAAAAAAAAAAGGCAGGGAATACTGGCTACATATAAAGATCTAATTAAAAATAATTGTGAGGCTGGCTAAGGCTGTATCCCATAGCACCTGGCACACGGCAGAGGGGCTGTGTGGAGGAGGAACAGGCAGGTTTGGGTACAGAAAACACAAGAGCTTTAGGATGCACCACGGACAATGATCATGACTAAATAGTCGTCCTCTGATTTGGCCAGGGCCTTGGCTGTGGAGTCCAGAAACTGCTGGGAGAAGTCGCAGGGTGGAAAGGCGTGCAGGACCCCGCTGTTCTCCTTGTCTTTGTTGCCCCCCACAGGGAGGCTGATCACTCCGGCAGCCTGCTTTTGCTTTAGATAGGACACGAGGTTCCTGAGTGCTCTCTGTGTGGAGGTGGTGGCAGCCTCAGTGGCTCCCGATGAGAGAATGGCATAACCATTGGGCCCTGCCACTTTGATACGGCGCGTGACCTCATCCAGCTTGGGCTGGTCCAGGCGGAGACGCTGGGTGATCTTGAGCTGAGCCACTTTGCCACCAGTTGCTCCCTCTACCAGGAGGCTGCTGGCTACACTGAGATCCCCCTGAAGAAGGTGCATGTTGGACGGGAAGTTACTATTCTTCAGGAGGAGCATGCCCTGCCAAGCCAGGCATAGTTTGGGGGCCCCAGCAGCCTGCGATGTTCCATCTTGCTGCTGCTGCTTCTGGGGCGGAGGTTTGAGCCGGGATCCTCCACCACTGCCACCTTCCGTGGTACGCTCATCCTTTTTGGCTGGGCTTTTACATTCCTGGGCAACAGCTGCTGTGGAGGTGCGGTGTTTCCGCTCTCTTTCAGCAGAGTTTTTGCGGTCACGCTTTTCACTCAGACCTCTTTCAAGACTGCCCCTGCGTGGCTCCCGGATAGGTGATGGCCGATCCAACAGGAGCAAACGGGAGGATGAGCGTTCTGTGTCACTAGTGTAGCGTTCCCTGCTCCCACCAAGATCAGGACTGCGGTCTGGGGGGGAGGCTGTGGCCAAACAATGTCGCTTACGGGACGCAGATGAACGCTCACTATCTGGAGAGCGGTCTAAGTGCCGGCCACCATCCTCTGCCAATCTTCGCTTCCTGGGTTGGTCTCTACTGCTGCTGCTGCCACCACCCAGTTCCCTTTCCCCTCGGTCCCGCTCCAAGGACCAGCCATCCCGCCGGCGCTCCAGACTTTCCAGCGGGTCATAGGCAGCGGCTCGATTGCTCCTGTCCCGTACAGGAGGTGGCGGTGGCACCCATTCTGCCTCAGGATAGAGATCTCTGTCGCGGTCTCTATAGAGCAGTGGTGGTGTCCTGTCACGGGCCCCCCGAAGTGGGTCTGGGGGAGCCCCACGGTGAGCCCCAAAAGCAGCTGCCTCTGCAACTAGCTCATAGTGGGCAGGTGGTGGTAGGGTCAGTGGCTGCAGGTAGGGTTGCTGGTAGCGATGCTCCGTGTCAGCAAAGTCCACACGTAGGCGGCGGTCTGGCCCACCCAAGGGGAAGCCACGCATGTGGGCACAAGCAGCCTGTGCTGCTTCCAGGCTCTCATATTGGATGTATGCCCATGAATCACCTTTACGATAATCAATAGTGCGAATGGTGCCAAAACGGTCAAACTCCCGTGCCAGGGCAGCCAGTGGCACCCAGGGCCCAAGTCCACCCACCCAAAGCCTGGTGGTAGGGGTGGCTTTGCCATAACCAATTTTGATAGGGTTACGAAGCAGCACCTTTCCAGACATGGCTAGCTTGGCACGGTGCGCCATGTCCAGGTTCTCAAATTTGAGGAAGCCATAGGTACTGGTCTGGCCACGACCTGGACGTTTGATATCCACTTCTGTGATGACCCCGAAGCGGTCGAAGGCCCGGCGCAGGTCCGACTCGCTCACCGTGATGTCCAGGTTGCCCAGGAACAAAGTACGGTTGGCTCTCTGATCATCCTCAGGACTGATCTCCTCCTCCCCGGCAACTCCAGCACCTCCTCCTCCTCCACGGAAACCCCCAGCTGCAGCCACTCCAGCCACTCGCTCCCACCCA